AGTTTGTGATGGATAGGGAAGCCTGTTGTGCTACAGTCCATGGGGTCGCAAAGAATTGGACATGATTGAGTGATTGAACTGAACTGATAAAGAAAATAATCCATTCATATATAAATGAAATCAATTAATGTTGTTAGGTATACATAAACAGACCATAAAACTATTTTTTAAATAAAATTGATGACAGTGCCTGCCTTTTAGGAAATAATGGTGTTGGATAAATGGATATAGAGACTTCAGGCATGAGGGAAGTTTTCCTTATATATGTGGAGGATGGGCACTTCATGGTATCTTTACATACATTTCATGAAGTATAACCTTTAAACCAAAACACCTTTTTGCCATGTTAATTTTCACAATACAATTTTATTTTGAAAGAATGAATTGATTAGAAGAATATAGAAGACTAAACGGGAAAATATTTTGCTATAGTTTTTGAATGTAATGTACTACATATCAATTAAGTGGCAGCTGGAAATACTGAAGGAGAAAAATTTTTAAGAAACTAATTCATAAATTTTTCAAATTGTTCTTTATTAAATTGGGAATTAATTTCCATTTCTCTTCCTTGAGAAAGGCAAACTTCTGTCTGTTAGGTGTGTTTGCTTCTATCCTTGCCTTTTATAATTTCCAAAATTCTAATACTAGAACAAATGTTATAAAATTTATATACTAGCACATATATTTAATTTTATATTAATAAATTACATATAGTGCATTAGTACTGGAACACAAAAGTAGGGAGTCAAGAAATACTTGGAGTAACAGGCAAATTTGTCCTGGGAGTACAGAATGAAGCAGGGCAAAGGCTAATAGAGTTCTACCAAGAGAACGCACTGGTCATAGCAAACACCCTCTTCCTACAAAAGTAGGGAGTCAAGAAATACTTGGAGTAACAGGCAAATTTGTCCTTGGAGTACAGAATGAAGCAGGGCAAAGGCTAATAGAGTTTTGCCAAGAACGCACTGGTCATAGCAAACACCCTCTTCCAACAACACAAGAGACGACTCTACATGTGGACATTGCCAGATGATCAATACCGAAATCAGATTGATTATATTCTTGGCAGCCAAAGACGGAGAAGTTCTATACAGTCAGCAAAAACAAGACCGGGAGCTGACTGTGGTACAGACCATGAAGTTTTTATTGCCAAATTCAAACTTAAATTGAAGAAAGTGGGGAAAACCACTTGACCATTCAGGTATGACTCAAGTCAAATCCCTTATGATTATACAGTGGAATTGACAAATAGTTTCAAGGGATTAGATCTGATAGAATGCCTGACAATTATGGGTAGAAGTTCATGACATTGTATAGGAGGCAGGAATCAAGACCATCCCTAAGGAAAAGAAATGGAAAACAGCAAACAATTGTCTGAGAAGGCCTAACAAAATAGCTGTGAATAGAAGAGAAGTGAAAGGCAAACGAGAACAGGAAAGATAAACCCAATTGAATGCAGAGTTCCAAAAAAATAGCAAGGAGAGATAAGAAAGCCTTTCTCAGTGAAAGTACAAAGAAACAGAGGAAAACAATAGAATGGGAAGGTCTAGAGAGCTCTTCAAGAAAATTAGAGATACCAAGGGAACAGTTCATGCAAAGATGGGCACAATAAAGGACAGAAACAGTATGAACCTAACAGAAGCAGAAGATATTAAGAAGAGGTGGCAAGAACACACAGAAGAACTATACAAAAAAGATCCTCACTGCCCAGGTAACCATGATGGTGTGATCACTCACCTAGAGCCAGAAATCCTGGAATGCGAAGTCAAATGGGCCTTAGGAAGCATCACTACAAACAAAGGTAGTGGAGGTGATGGAATTCCAGTTGAGCTATTTCAAATCCTAAAAGATAATGCTGTGAAAGTGCTGTACTCCCATGTCAGCAATTTTGGAATACTCAGCAGTGGCCATAGGACAGGAAAAGGTCAGTTTTCATTCCAATCCCAGAGAAAGGCAATGCCAAAGAATGCTCAAACTACTACAATTGCAGTCATCTCACATACTAACAAAGTAATGCTCAAAATTCTTCAAGCCTGGCTTCAACATATGTGAATTGTGAGGTTCCAGATGTTCAAGCTGGATTTAGAAAAGGCAGAGGAACCAGGGATCAAAGTGTCAACATCCATTGGATCATTGAAAAAGCAAGAGAGTTCCAGAAAAATATCGACTTCTGCTTTATTGACTATGCCAAATTGACTATACTGACTATTGAAAATTCTTAAAGAGATGGGAATACCANGAGATCCAACCAGTCCATCCTAAAGGAGATCAGTCCTGAATATTCATTGGAAGGACTGATGCTGAAGCTGAAACTCCAATACTTTGGCCACCTGATGCGAAGAACTGACTCATTTGAAAAGATGCTGGGAAAGATTGAAGGTGGAAGAGAAGGGGATGACAAATGTCGAGATGATTGGATGGCATCACTGATTCAACGTACATGAGTTTGAGTAAACTCCTGGAGTTGATGATGGACATGGAGGCCTGGCATGTTGCAGTCCACAGGGTTGAAAAGAGTCAGAAACGACTGAGCGACTGAACTGAACTGATAGTGCATTATATGCTGTTTACTCTAAATTTAGAGTAATTGGTAATTGGATGATGACAAGATAATCTAAAAGATATTATATATTTAATACAGAGTGAATTTAACTTATTTTAATGTATTTAGTATATTTAATTTAATATGTTAAATTTAATTTAATATATAAAATATATATTCTTTACATGCTCCCTGTTCATTCCAGTGTAAAGCTTTGCTTAATTTGGTCTTCATAGCTTCCTGATATCTCCACTGCCTCTTTTATACTCACGTCTGTTCATGTGCTGGTCCTCTCTTTGAAATGTTCTTTTGTCTCTTTACATGTATATGATCTTTAGGATAACCGCTCGTATCTGGGATTTGCATCTAGATGCTGCAGGTCTTTCTGGGTGCAGTCATCTCATAGTTCTTGTGACTGGGAACTCATGTCTACACAGCTCTCTCTTCCACTAACAAATAAACTCCTTGAAGTAAGGGCTTGTGTTCTGGCCACTGTTGTGTCTTTCAGAAATTGCAGACTATCTGTAACACAGAAGGTAATCCATCAAGATATAATAAGTGATTAAATGATTCAAGAATCTAGGAACAGCTGCTTTTCAGAGAGTTTGACAGAATGGCATTTACATCATTTATATCAAATTATATTTGAAAAATATACATTTGTGACTTGACACAAATGTAATACGGTTTTACAGTGTCATCAAATACTTCCAAGAAACTGCCCAATTGGAAGATGAAAAAACTACCAGAAGTGCTGTAGTTTAATTCAGCAGACAGCTAATGAGCTCCTCTCCGGTGACAGAGAGTCTGCACTGGCTTCCTCTTATCCATTAAGATGTGGAACAGACACACAGAGGCAGAGTCATGGGCAAAGTCATCTTGATTCTGTCACACCTTAGAAAGGGCAACTATTTATGTAGACCTTTCAAGGGGCCAGGCCCTGGACTGGGCCAATGAATTAAATTCATTTAACATTCAAAACTCCATGATGATGCTTACATTGCTAGTTCTATTTTAGTGGAGAGAAAACTATGCAGTGGTGGCATAATCAGCTCCACAGAGCTGCTAAGTAGCAAATCTAAGATTTAGCTGGAGGTCCTTATGGTTCTACACAGTCTCTCACACTTCCATCCTCTGAAGGCAAACAAGAGACTAGAATTTTTAGAGATAGAATGAGAACTCACAGTTTGGAGCAGGTGTTAGGGCTGTCTGTGTATATTATGACACTTAGTCTTACAAGTAACTTGATTAAGAAGGTTTTCTTTCCTTGTCTAAAAACTGATGTATGTAAGCAATTGAACAGATTTGGGAAAGCTAAAAACGTCACACAACGCATACTAAAACGACCAATAAACTTGGGATATGAGAACAGATAAAAAGGCACTATGTGCAGCTTTCTTTATGACAGCTATCATATCACAGACAAATGGAGTACAAAGACATTGAATATAATGAGATAAATTATGATAGGTAAATCACATGGAGAAGAAATATCACATGCATAAGAAAGAAGAAAGTGATTACTGGGCTCAGTGTTTGTGGCCCTGGAAACAAGTGACAAAGGAGAGGAGAAATAGGGAGGGGAGGAATAATATAATAGGGGGAAAATATATGGTCATCCTCAGGCTTTCTTCTTTACACCTTTCCTTAGGCTCAGCCCTGACTGCATCCTGCTCCTCAGAGACCCTGTAACATCCTTATTCCGGAAGCTGTAAATGAGGGGGTTCAGCACAGGGGTGATGATGGTATAAAAGGCTGACACCATCATGTCCTGCTCAGCTGTGTGGTAGGAATCGGGAAGCATGAAGTAAAGAAACTAAGTATGAAATTACTTTTAATTATTTTTACATACCCTTATAGCCTGTGAAGTTAGATGAATGTATTAACTCATGGAAACTTTAATGTAGATTGATGTTTGGTTTATGTAGCCTTAGTCTTATAGCCAAATAGTAAATTTGTATTTATACTGTGAGTCTCATATTCAATATTTGAAAAAGAATGTGTACATTGTTCTTACTAAGGTATAATAGCACTCATTGAAACACTGTGGTTGCCACATGCGAATTATGAACTGAGGTATATTACAGGGCAAGGAAAACTAAAAGATCTCCTGTGTTATGCTGGGATCTGGATTTTTCTCAGGGAGCCACATTTAGGATTAAGGATTTCACACCACTCTCATATTAAAAAGGTGAATAAACTTGGGATGGGAGCTCAGATCAAAGGCACTATGTGAGTTTTCTTTATGTCAATTTTTGCTTCACAGATAAAAGGAGTATAAGGACATAAAATATAATGAGATAAATTATGATGAGTAAACAGCATGGAAGAGAAACGTCACATGCATAAGAAAGAAGAAAGTTATAACTGGTCTCAGTATTGGGGGCCCTGGAAGCAGGTGACAAAGAAGAGGAGAAATTGGCCGGGGATAATATAGGGGAAAAATATATAGTCGTCCTCAGGCTTTCCTCTTTACACCTTTCCTTAGGCTCAGCCCTGACTGCATCCTGCTCCGCAGAGCCCCTGTGACATCCTTATTCCGGAGGCTGTAAATGAGGGGGTTCAGCACAGGGGTGATGATGGTATAAAAGGCTGACACCATCATGTCCTGCTCAGCTGTGCGGTAGGAATCGGGAAGCATGCAGGTGTAGATGGTGGCACCAAAGAAGAGCAGCACTACACTCACGTGGGAGGAGCAGGTGGCAAAGGCTTTCCTGCGGCTCTCCGATGAGCTCATTCTGTGGATGAGGTGCAGGATGAGGGCATATGAGCTTGAGATGACCACAGTGGGGATGAGGAGCATGAGAACACAGCACAGGTACATTACCATCTTGTAGAGAGAGATGTCAGAACAGGACAATTTCAGCAGAGAGGAGCCTCACAGAAGAAACTCAAGATTTTTCTGGAATGACAAAAGGGGAAGCTCATGGCTATGGGTGTGAGCAACAAACCATCCACCATTCCTAGGAACCAGCATCCAGACACTAGGCATACACAGACTCTCTGGTTCATCAGCAGAGGATAATGGAGAGGTCTGCAAATGGCAGCATATCTGTCATAGGCCATGGCAGACAGGAGAAAAGTCTCTGCTCCAGCGAGCATCAGATAGAAGAACATCTGGATCCCACAACCTCAGGGAGAAATTGTATGATCTCCTGTCACTTGGCCCACGAGCATCTTGGGCACAGTCACAGATATGTACATGAGGTCCATGAGGGAGAGCTGGCTGATGAAGAAGTACATGGGGGTGTGCAGGCGGGGCTCCAGGTGGACGAGGGTGATGAGGAGGGCGTTCCCAGCCAGGGCCATCAGGAAGAAGATGAAGGTCACAGTGTAGAGGAGGAGGGCGTGTTTGGTTTCACCAAAGAGCCCCACAAGCATGAAATCAGTATTCAATGTTTGATTCTGTGAAGTTCGATTCTCTGAATACATGGTCTTGGTTATAGTTTTCATCTGAGGAAGAAATGAGTCATTGTTTTCAGATATTTCATATGCATGTGATTTTCTTAATCATTTTTTTCAATAAGAAAAGTACTTTGAACTATTTTTTCAAATATGAAGTTGTACTGATATAGAAATAAAAGCTAATTTCTCCAAAAGTCCAGGTTGCATATTGGCCATAAGTCTAGAGTAGATTATGAGACAAACCTGGGGAGGTGACAACTCTACAAATAGACAAATTGTTTACAGTCAGTAAATATTATTTATTTTTTCCCTAAGCTGAGAATATAAAAGGGCTTATCTCATGGGATGATTAGAATGCTAAAGTATGAAACGCAGGTTAAGTCTGTAATACAATGTGAGTGTTAAATGAAGCCATCTAATGATGCTCCCCCTCCACTTTTGGACACAGTAGGCCATGCAGGAATCAGTGATGAAAGATGATGCTAATGTCAATATTAATATTATTAATGATACTAATATAACCAAAGTTCACTGAGAACTTGTAATCTTAAATATTTTCTCCCCTGATACATCTCTATTAATCCCCCTTTCATTGCTAAAAATATTTCAGTTTATTCAACCTTTCTTTACTCAATGAAGCTCCAGAAGCAGGACCACCAGGGGCATCAAAACAGACAGTGTTCAGCCTGCCTGTGGACTGCAGCTCACGGTGCAGACCTAGGGCAGGGAAGGCGGGCAGAAGGCGCGCAGACCTTGTACAGATAAGAGGGTACTTGTGTGCCTACTTTGTATGGCTTAGGACGGCAAAAGTGATGCCAGTCTGATGCAGGGCAAGAGGACATTTAGTGTGAGGCCTTTTACAGAGTGAGGAGGGCAGGAAGGTTGGTGATCTGGTGCAGAACAGGGGGCAAGAATATGATGTGCAGACATTGTACTGGGCTGAAGGGCACTCAGGGTGCAGACAGTGCAGGACAGGATATTTGGGCTGCAAACCTGGTGCAGAGCACGAGGGATGCTGATCTTGCACAGTGTAAGAGAACATTTGGGGTGCAGAGCATGTGCAGGGCAAGATGGCATTCAAGTTGCCAACCACACTACAATACAGTATGGCAGTTGGGGTGCAGATATGGTGATAGGAGAAGGTCACTCGGGGTGCAGATCGTGTGCAGGGGAGGAAGACACAGGGTATATAGTTGGTGTAAGACAGGAGGTCAGCAACATTCTACTTGGTCCCTCTCATAACACCAAAGCAGGGTTAAAGCATTTAATGTTTCATACAGAGAAATTATTTTTATAAGAAGTCACTGGGATGACCCAGAGGGATGGGATGGGGAGGGAGGTGGGAGGGGGGTTCAGGATGGGGAACACATGTACACCCAAGGAGGATTCAAGTCAATGTATGGAAAAACCAATACAGTATTGTAAAGTTAAATAAATAAATAAACAAAAAAGAAAAAAGAAATCACAAAACCAAAAGCTGTAGATTTCCTAAATAGCAACTTTCTAATTGAAACATGCATTAAATAATTATTTTTCCTTTTGTTGATGCCATTTATTCCCTGAAAATAGTGTCAAAATTATTGTGTTCTATGTGTATGTATAGTTAATGAATGAATGAATGGAGTTAAATGGTAAAGAACACATATAGCAATATGAAGCTGTTGGGTATCACACACAAAGCTACAGTCTTAAAACCCAATATGCTGATCTTGTATCTTAGTTTAATCAGGAAACTAGTAAATTTCATGCATGCATAGAACATTTGGGGTGCAGAGCATGTGCAGGGCAAGATGGCATTCAAGTTGCCAACCACACTACAATACAGTATGGCAGTTGGGGTGCAGATATGGTCATAGGAGAAGGTCACTCGGGGTGCAGATTGTGTGCAGGGGAGGGAGACACAGGGTACATAGTTGGTGTAAGACAGGAGGTCAGCAACATTCTACCTGGTCCCTCTCATAACACCAAAGCAGAGTTAAAGCATTTAATGTTTCATACAGAGAAACTATTTTTATAAGAAGTCATTGGGATGACCCAGAGGGATGGGATGGGGAGGGAGGTGGGAGGGGGGTTCAGGATGGGGAACACAGGTACACCCAAGAAGGATTCAAGTCAATGTATGGAAAAACCAATACAATATTGTAAAGTTAAATAAATAAATAAACAAAAAAGAAAAAAGAAATCACAAAACCAAAAGCTGTATATTTCCTAAATAGCAACTTTCTAATTGAAACATGCATTAAATAATTATTTTTCCTTTTGTTGATGCCATTTATTCCCTGAAAACAGTGTCAAAATTATTGTGTTCTATGTGTATGTATAGTTAATGAATGAATGAATGGAGTTAAATGGTAAGGAACACATATAGCAATATGAAGCTGTTGGGTATCACACACAAAGCTACAGTCTTAAAACCCAATATGCTGATCTTGTATCTTAGTTTAATCAGGAAACTAGTAAATTTCATGCATGCATGCTAAGTCGCTTCAGTTATGTCTTATTCTTTGCAACACTATGGACTGCAGCTCACCAGGCTCCTTGGTCCATGGGATTCTCCAGGCAAGAATACTGGAGTAGATTGTGATGTCCTCCTCCATGGGATCTTCCTGACCCAGGAATCAAACCAGCATCTCTTACTGCTCCTATATTGACAGGCGGTTTCTTTACCACTAGCACCACCTGGGAAACCCTCTCTACAAACCAGCAGTTTTGCTCAATAACTGCTCTCCCTAAATATTTCCATTTTTAATATCCCAGTTGAATTGCTTAAGCCACGCTTGACACAATTATCCTAAAATTGTCAAATTAAGAATAGAGTTCAGTTATATGTTATGGAAAGGTTAGGAGCTCCATAATTGACTAGGGTCTGATCAATTTCAGAGTTGCTACACACCAGGTTAGAGAAATGTGCAGAGAAAAAAAATCACATAGTAACTAAGACACATGGAAATGTGAAGCAAAGTATATTGTAATGTACTTGGGTAAAAAAAATTTGGGATTTCATGAAATTGAAAGTCAGAATTACATAAGAGATTAATAACTGTAACCAGGCATATTTGCTCCTTTTTTGTTTGTACCCTTAAAGGGTTCTGAAGAGATGTTAAAAAAAAAAAACACATTTCATCAAAAAGACAAACATAGCATTTAAAACACATACGTTTTGTTTCACCTCATCTTCTCTACCAGAGAGTAACTGATACACAAAAGCTGAATGAAACTGCTTTTACCATTCCAAGGCCAGGCAATCAGGCTTAAATTCAGAAGACAGAGTGGGAAAGTTACATCATCAGTTTCTTCACATGAGGGAATTGAGATAAATTTCTGTTGTTTAGTCCTTTACATTGTTGAATAAGCATGAAAGCTAACAAGACTGGCAAGCCAAATGGAATTTTCAATGGGGATTGAACATGTTTGCCATTTAGGTGCCACAGCTATCAAAAACCAAATATTTTCCAAAAAATATTGCATTTTTTTTTTTAAAGCTCAGCAGTATGTTTTCCAGTTTCAAATTACATTTTCCTACTTTATGTTTGTTTAGAATGTTCTCTCACTCTCTCTTTGTAAAAATAATTCTGATTTTCAGAAAGGCAGTATCAGGCAGAACATACACATCTGAGACAGAACTTGACCCAGAATTGATTTAAAATAAGAAAGTAAGTTGTTACTATCAAAGTGATTTTATCTGTTTTCATAGATTAAGAATAATAGATTTGGTATAATGTGTTGACACACAGGCTGTGATCTGGTCAGTATCAAGGGCAGTATTCAACATCTTTTATTGTCCCTTTGTGATTACCCACTCCTATCTAAGGTTGCATACTATGTATCCCAGAAACACCTTCAATTTGTGGATATAGGTTAAAACTTCACAAGAACAGGAATCTCATTCAAATTACAAAAATAAAAGTGAAGTTGGGAGCATTATTTTTTGGAGCTTTCCCTGATGTGGTAGTTTCACAAACATTTCCAAGGTCTTATGATCTAGTCTTACCTTGAGTATACAATGGAGGCTTATTGTTACTGTTCAGTTGCTAAGTTTTGTGAGCCAATGGGCTGTAGCATGCCAGGCTGCCCTGTCTTCCCCTGTTTCCCAGAGTATGCTCAAATTCATGTCCATTGAGTTGGTGATGCTATCTAACCATCTCTTCCTCTGCCACTCCTTCTCCATTTGCCTTCAATCTTTTAACAGCATCAGGACCTTTCCCATTGAGGTGGCTCTTTGCATCAGATAGTCAAAGAACTGGAGCTTCAGCTTCAGCATTAGTCCTTCCAATGAATATTCAGGGTTGATTTCCCTTAAGGTTGACTGGTTTGATCTCCTTGCTGTCCAAGTGACTCACAAGTCTTCTCCAACACCACAGTTCAAAAGCATCAATTCTTCACAGCTAAGCCTTCTTAATGGTCCAATTCACATCCATGCATGACTATTGGAAAAACCACAGCTTTGACTAGACAGACCTTTGTCAGTAAAGTGATATCTCTGCCTTTTAATATGCCATCTAGATTTGTCATAGCTTTACTTCTGAGGAACCATTGTCTTTTATTTTCATGACTGCCACCATTGTCTGCAGTGATTTTGGAGCCAAAGAAAATAAAATCTGCCACTGTTTTCACTTTTCCCCCATCTATTTGCCATGAAGTGATGGGACCAGATGCCATAATCTTAGCTTTTTGAATGATGAGTTTCAAACCAGCTTTTTCACTCTCCTCTTTCACCCTCATTAAGAGGCTTTTTAGTTCCTCTTCGATTCCTGCCATTAGGATGGCATCATCTGCATACCTGAGATTATTGATACTTCACCCAGAAATCTTGATTTCAGCTTGTGATTCATCCAACCCAGGATTTTGCATGCTGTACTCTGCACCTAAGTTAAATAAGCAGGGTGACAATATAAAGCCTTGGCATGCTCCATTCCCAAATTTGAACCAGTCCACTTTTCCATGTCCACTTCTAATTGTTATTTCTTGGCCTGAACAGAGGTTTCTCAGGAAGCAGGTAAAGTGATCTGGTGCCCCCATCTCTTTAA